AGTTATCTTTTCTTTTATATTGTTTGCTTAAAACACGTGAAGATTTTTCTATATAACTAACTACATAATGTTGTCATTTTTGTCTTGTGTTGAATAATGATGAATCTTTTCTTCTTTTTTGTGTTTTTTACTATTCAACTTACACAGCAAGTTTCTATTAATCAACTAACTAAAAATGATTGTACTTATAAAGATGGTAGATTTGGTCATATTAATTTATCTAAAGTTGGTTTAAAACAGGGTATACCTGCTTTTCGACATATTCGTAATGGTGAATTTTATTATTCGTAAGATTTTTTTTATTTTAATTTTTTTTTTATTTAAAATATTCTTATTTATCTATAGTTATAATCCATGCTATCCATTTTCTGAAGAATCTGCTTGTATTAATGTAGCTATATGTCAAAGTAAGTATTTGTTTTTTTCTTGTTTTTCGAAATAAATGAAAAATAATATCTCTTATTTTTAGTATACAAAGATGAATCAGCTTCTTTTATTCTTGGTTATAATTCTCAAGTAACATGGTCAATAAGTGCAGATGGAAAAGTAACACTTATTTATTCAACAGATGATCGTCAAACAATTGTTAATCTTGTATGTTCACAAGAACTTGATCAACTTATTATTAATGGAGAATATGAACATAACCATTATAATTTAACATTATCTAGTAAATGTGCTTGTTGGAATCAATGTTAAAATTGATTTTGTTTTTCTATTTTATTTCATTAATAACAACGAATCTGAACCGAAAGAAAAAGAAAATCATATGACACTGGAATGAAATGAAATAAATATCTGTTCAAATAATGAGAAAAAGAAATGACATCAGTTTGATTGTTCATAAGAAAGGAAAGATCGATTGATTGTTGAAGAGAAAAAAAAAAAAAGAAAGTCAAATAATATCTGACGAAAGAAAAACAAGAGAAAAACAACTATAAGTTATTCTGACAAATGTTTATGATACTATTGATTAATTTGTATTAGCTTCTTCACATGCATCAATCCACGCATTGTATACATCGATTGGTTCACTTAAATCTAAAACGACAAAAAAAAAAAAAAGACAGAAAATTATTTTCAAATGTTCTTTTAGTTAGTCATTTAATGTAAGAAGGAATAAATAAATGTTGCTTTGGCGAAATGCACATTGTTAGAAGTTTTAGTAATGAAAAACTCAATTAAAGACATACTGATATTGTGTTCTCATCCATAATGAGCAATATTTACAATTCCATAGAAAGGAATAGCTAAAAGAAAATTATATATATATACATTTATTTTTTTAATCAATGTTATTCAAGTTAGTTGTTTATGTTGAGGTTTGGTTATTGTAGATAAAATTCGTTTAAGGGAATCTCCACTCTTTTTTGATTGTCGAAGAGGTTATAATTGATCTGCCTGGAATTTTTATCACAAATAGCAAATGTAAAATAAGGAGACATGTGTTCGCAGAAAAAAAAAGTTAAACAAGGTTTTCGCGAAAAATCCTAGTTTTCTATAAGGTCACTTACAATTCTCACACTCTAACTTTGTCCAATCGAACTGAGATTTTTACCACAGATGATATTTGCAAAATATTCTCCAGAGATTGCATTGGCCGTTTTCGTATTTGACCTTCCTATACGGATTTATAGAGTCCTGAACACCAATATCCCAGTTTCGGATGTAAACCTTTGTATTTCTTTCCTAAAAACAGAAAAACGAGATTTTTGAAAAAACTCAAAATCATTTGTGAGATTATTCACTGAATGGAATCGTTCTATATATGTCAAGATTCTAGTACTCTGTATGAAATTTTTCTTTCAATTAATATAATAAATTTTCTAATTTTCATTTTGAAGATTGAAAAATTTATTTTATTCATACTTACAATTGACATCAGTTTCATATGTTTCTGAACAAATTCGACATAAAATTTGTGCACGTTGTTTTTTTCGATCAAATTTTACATCACATGAACTTTCATGATTACAAAATGGACAATCAAAAACTGTTGGTAATACTTGTATTCGTTTTATATTTTTTCGTACTTTTCGTTTACTTTTTTTACGACCCATTTATTTTGTAATCTGTAAAAAGAGTAATATATATATATTTTTATTGAATTACGAAAGAACATATTATATTTCTTTGTATAAAAAAGAACAAACAAAATTATTCTTATGAAAAAAAAAAAAAAAAATATTAATCTCGATTTTGCTCTTCACATGCATCAATCCATGAATTATATACATCGATTGGTTCACTTAAATCTATAAATATATGATAGAATAAAAATAATTTAAAAATAAGAAAATAAGATTTACAATGAATTGGTGTTGAATATGTTTCTAAACACATACGACATTCAATTGTACCAACATTTGCTTTTCGATCACTAAAAATAAAAATCATTTATATTTATTAAGTTTGATAAAAATTCTTAATTATTACTTACATTTTAACTTCACATGAACGATCATGCGAACAGAACGGACATGGAAATACAAGAGAAAGAGCTTCAACTCGTTTTTGTTTTGGTGGTGGCTTTCGTTTAGATTTACGTTTACCCATTCTTTTTGTTTTTCAATAAATTGATACCAATCTGAAGAAAGAAAAAACAAATGACGTCTTGAATCAGAAAGATATTATTTTTGTACTTATGATCAGACGTATAATATTTATAGTCGAGTTTGTTAATAGGAAAAAAAAGCAAGCAGAGAAAATTCGATTTGATTATTCGTTTTTAACAATGATGAAATAAGCTAAAAGATGGCGCTATATTGTTACAAGTAAGAATATATTTTGAGAAAGAAAACACTAAGTCAATATCATCTACATTCGTCAGAATCTTTGAAGTGTCATGGTTTAGAATATTCTTCTTTCTAAGAAAATAACGCTGTATAAAGGACTTAAAGCCAGTACTATTACCCCGGGGAGTATCCAGATGCCGCCAGAATTGGGAGAAGTCAATTGGAAGATTTTTGCTAAAATTAATCGCGACTTTGAGCATATTTTTTTTGGGACACGTGACCAAAAAATACAATAAAACGCTGGAAGAAAACGAAAATTTTTCAAGATTGGGGGCTGGTAGAGAGTTTCGGACCTGAATTTAGTTTATTGAACGCTTTTGAAATTCGGATCTGAACTCCGACGAACCGTACTTTGTTCTGATTTTTTGAATTCTGTGATTAGCACATGCTACACATTTCGTAAACGGAAAGAACCCATCAGATCCACAATTTTCGAACCCGGGACCAACCCGACGATCAGAGGTGTAGCTAGGAATTTTCTAAGGGAGGTACCTGCCACCAAGAAAATAATTGTTTGGTTCGCAAAAAGGTTTTTTGTTCCATTCAGGTATGGTTTTTGACCGAAGAGGAAACACAGGCACTATGTGTACGCCTCTGTCGATGGGCTCTATTGAAGAACTATCGCCTTCGAGACATCCATGAATACATCACTCGAATCTTTAAAAGGTCATTTCTTGTCGTAGATTTCTATTTGTAAATTCGAATTGATCGCAAAAAGCTACGCCATCTTTCTTTGCATTATTTATTGATTCAAATAAATACTCCAATCATAATCTTTCTTTTGAATATATATATATAAATATTTTCGATCTATGTAGCAATATTTTCCGATATTTTAAAAAACAAAAAAAGAATGGTACTCGTACGAAAACGTCGTGGTGGTCGTCGACATAAAAAATTAAAAGCTATTGATCCATTTTATTCTGGACCAAGAAAACTTCTTGTTGATAAGTTTGTATACTTTTATTTATATAAATATGTGTATATTAATCTTCATTATTCATTTATTCTATAGAAAATTAGTTAGCGCAAATCAAGCACCAAAAAAAGGTGAAAAAATTGATAATAAAATTTCCCATCGTTTTCAACAATTTCTTGATAATAAACAACATGCTGAAGAAATTCAAAAATCATCAAAGAAAAAAACGAAAAATAAATTTAAACAAAATATAAATGAAAATAATGAATATCCAGAACTTGAACAAAAACCAAATGAATCTGATCGACGTTATTTACAAAGATTAGATCATGTAATATAAAATAAATAATTTATAAAAAGAAATTTTGTTTTTTTATTTTTAGGAAGTAAAATTTGCATTAGATTGTGCTCGATATGAATCAAAATATGATGTTAAATTAGTGAATAGTGAAAAAGGTGATCATCAATTTCAAGTTAAAAAAGAAAAAAGTAAACGATCTGAAAAAAGACTTAAGTAAGTTAAGATAAAATTATAAATTATTAACTCTTTTAATTTAATACATTTGAAATTAAGAAAATTATGTTAACATATTAAGCTGAAATCATAAAAAAGATAAAATTTGTTTCGAAAAATTTCAACTAAAAAACGACATTGAAATTAATTCGATACCTAGATTGAATACAGCATAAAGCCTATGTATTTGTTTTGCGCCTTGATCCGAAGACTATGAACGTTATGATATATATGACAATTTCATATGGGCTGATTGCATTGATTTTAATTATTCAAGTCTTTTCCTATAAATTGAGATTTTTGGCATAAATGGAATCGGTATCGACAATTGGTCGGTCCGATCCGGACTTCAGACTGCTCCTACCAATCTGTTACCGATTTAACGGTTTACCCCGGATATGTAGACAGTTATCGATTTAACTTTGTTACTTTTCATCGAGACTCTTGCAATATTCTTATTGGTCCTAATTGATGTTGTTCATTAAATATATAATGAAGTTTTATTGGAATTTCACGAAAATAAATTATGCAAAAAAAAGAAAACTTTAATACGTTCGGCATTAATAATTCTCTAAATTTTTGTTGTACACATTTAATCATAGCTAGAAGTGATAATAGCGGTCCGATACTGATGCCGATTTTGAGGCAGCCATTTTAGCAGTCCGATATTGGCCTACCGGTATACCTGCCGATTCAGAACGATTCCATCTATGATTTGTGCAACCTTTTCGGATGTCTCTTTCCATTTTTAATGATTTTTTTTGCCTGTGGATACTACAAAGTATTCTAGTGAAAATCCTAAAAAAATTTGAGTTCTTATTGATACTTAACGGAGGTATTGAATATTTAAATGTAACCGTTTGTCATCAACTCCCATAGAATCTCAGGATTTCAGAAAAATCGTGTTTTTGAATTTTTCTCTTGAAATTAATTTTATTGAAAATCTCCTATACAATAGCTCGTATACCGAATTTCAAAGTTTAAAGACTTCGTATTGTTGAGAGAAGAATTTTTCAAAAATAGACATTTCGAAGTGTAGTGAGTAACGTCAAAATATTTTGATAAGTACCCATGTCAGACACATGGACTCTTCAAACTTTGAATCTCTTCATACAAACTTCTACTTCTCAAGGAAAGATTGTAAAAAACGCAGCGACCCTTCATTTTGTTCAGAATTTTACACTCTTTAAGATGGCATTATCAAAAAAATAATTTCCACAAAGTCTTCAAGGACTTGAAAAATAAGATTTTCAGTTTTTTAGAAATCCTGCCGTCATAACCCATCGACGAAATCCTGATATATAATGTATTAGATAGAACTCTTCATTGGCTATTCAAATCACTATTTGAATGTCTTTAACAAATCATTTTGAGCAAAATAATTCATAAAATACAAGGTGCTCTAAACTTTTGTCCACCATTATACTTCGTAGTATCGATAGGTAAAAAAATCCATTGAAACGGAAAGTTCATTCGTTAATCCGTTCAGGTGAAATAAATAGTTCCATTATCCTATCTCATATAAAAAAATGAATCATATGTCTTATTTAAAATTTATTTTAGAGATTCTTTTTTGTTACAAATCCGTATAATTAGTGTTATTTCGAACTCGTTAATAAAAAAAAATAGAGCGTAATGTATGTCGTTTGTTGCTAAGGGCGGCTTATGTTCTTTAATTTCTCCTTTACATTATCTGTTTGCATCTCTTTCATATGAAAGCAGTGCGAAAAAGAAACCGCCGTTAGCGACAGATAACATGCATTAGGCCTTATTTTTGCAATCTGGAAGCTGATAAATGAATTGGAGACAAGGCGCATTCTTTTGATAAATGCAAAAATGTATATAAAAGATTTCAACTCAATTGTATTCAATTAATGTTTTATATGCATCTCTTTAAAAGAAAGAACATTAAATGTAAATGTTTTCCTAAGATAACTTTAAAAATATAGATTATCATCCCACATATAACCAGTCAAAAAGCATTCCGGATGTCTACATTTTGTCAAAAAAAAAATCTGCAATATAATGACATCATTGATAAATATATAGGATGCCAATGTTATTGTTGCTTGCCAACTTTCATGAATTATTTGAGCTGATCAGATATGTGCTTTTGAATTATTTGTAAATATGAATGCTGATGACATTTCCTAAACATTAGAAAAAAAACTATATCTTGATTTATTGAATTATTAAACATCTATTTTGTTTTTAGACGTTTACAAACCAAGAAAGAAGAAAATAAATTAAAACAAGAAGAAAAAAAAATTAAAGATGATGAATTTAACTTATTTCAAGGTAAAATTTTTATATATTAAATATTATTCTATAATAATCATTCATTAAATTAGATCAACCAAAATTTGGTGAAATAGTTCATGAACCGCCAACATTAACATTACCAAAACGTTCAAAAGTGGATAAATCCAAAGTAAAAATTTATTTTTTATCAATCAATCAATCAATTATTTATTTATCTCTTTCTAGGCTGGTATGAAAGATTTATTATTAAAAGAAAAATTAAAAAATCAAAATTCTTTTAATGGAACAGATCGGAAGAAAAACAACTAAATAGATTTATCGTTGAATTTGTTGTTGTTGTTGAAATGTTTCATTTTTTGTTGAAATACGAAAATTTGGTTTATTACCAAGAATTCGATCTATATCAGTCATTACTGATGGAGTTAATTTCGAAACAACCTAAATGTATAAAAATAAAAGAAACCGTTCTTTAAAAATATCTTTTTTTATCCTTTTTTTTTTTTTTTTTTACATGTAATGAATTTATATTTTCATATAATTGTTCAACAGATGATGCACCAAGTAATACACAATGAACATTTTCATTTCTTAAACACCATGCTAAAAGAAAAGTTCTTAATTACGAAAAAATTTTACTATGAAAATAATCTGTTAATTATCATTTTACTTTTGCGAAAATGATAAAATTTGTATTTGCCAAAGAAAAATTCTTAAATTTTATTTTCTACGAAGAATATATTTATTCTTACCAATAGCTAATTGAGCAAGTGTACAATCAAATTTTGTTGCTAAAATAGATAATTCTCTTAATTTATCTTGTTGTTTTCGACCTTCTTCATTTAAAACTTTGTCTTTTAACCATCCATAACCCTATCATTTCAAAAAAAAAGAAGTAAATTCCGCATTTCATATAGTTTTATTTTACTTTAAGTGCTGCTCTTGAATGTAATGGTACTCCATCATCATATTTTCCTGTTAATAATCCACATGCTAATGGCGACCATGTCATTGTTCCAATACCTAAAAAAAACAAAAAATTTCCGGTTTTTTGTTCTTATATTCAATT